CAAAACGTTGCCCCTAAAGCCTGCCTAGACAGACTGCTCAAAGCCACGACCGACACTACATGAGATCCGACGGTAGGTCCCCCCGAAAGGGCCCGGCATGTAACACAAACAGGGCGTGTTGTAACTCCTTGCACAGTAGATTTACTGTAGCAGTCTCGCTCGCGGTCTCCTGAATCAGTGTTAGAGCTAAGAGTACTAAGAGCCCGCTGGTCCCTGCGATCGGAGCATGCTACTCACCCTCCATGTGTTCTAAATCCACGACCAATCAGCCGGCCTGTTGTCCCGGAAAAGGTAAGACCATCCAACGTGAATACGAAATCATTTGTGCGTTTGAGTACCGCAAGCACGTCTTCTGGAATTATCCTGGCCTGCTAGCGACCGCCTCCAAAAAAACAAGCTCGCGGAAGGAGTCTTTGCAGTCATCTTGGCGCTGACGTGGTCCGCCGTTCTAACCGTGATGACCGGCTATTGTCCGAGTCAGGTCAGGGGGTCTTCTTCCACCGACACCGTTGAAAGGCTTGACAGCCTGCGACACTTCTCCAGTTCTTGGTTTCCAATAAATTATTACACGTTTCATGCGAGGGACAAAGCTACGCCAAGACTTTTGCCCCGAACGCATCAATCTGGCGTCTTGTTCAAAGGATCCAGATCAGGAGCGCATATTTCACGGTTGCGATGTTAAATGCCATCCCATCTCAGTCGGACAGGATGTGGAGATTAGCAAGCTAATGTTTCGACCATCAACGACTCGATGGAATTGAGCTTCACATCTTTCCGGTCGCTCATCGAGTCAAGTACATTCAGGGCCTCGGCAACGGACGGCGGTCCTTTGTGAAACGGTGCAGCGTTTAAACCCTTAGCCAAGCTGCATGACTGCCTACGTCGTCGTTGCAGGCCATGCCTCAGGTGGTGTAACCATGCACGTCTTTAATGTGGTGCATCTACAACATCCGGTCAACTCGGCTTACATACCTGGTTTTGATGGCAATTCGTCAGATATAAGAGCACGTAGGCAACGAAACTTTCATGCATATGTTGCTCGTCTGGTACATGTGTAATGTGGTCATTGCAAAATGTATCCTATCAAGACAGAGCTACTGGCTGCCCGTCGTGGATTTGGTGACGCCTTACGCCAGCGAACTCCGGTCTCATAACAATGTAACTGAAAGACCACAACGTGGAATGATTCATGCATGATCACCATCGCCTCCCTCATCATGGTGCATTTCAGTTCCATGGAAAGCATCGCCAAACGCAGAGTCATCGACCAAATCCAGACCCAGATTGTCATCTTGCCCATAGTCTGCCAGAGCATCACCAGCGCTATCGATACTGTCAAAGTTTCCAAAATCGGCCGTGTCGAACATACTGCCAGTCTCTCCTTCAACGTTTGATGCTGATATGGCGTTTGCGTTGTTCGTCGTATTGTGATTTGTAGTTGTCGGCTTCGGCTGGCTTGCAGACGCAGCGTCGCCTGACTGATTGCCTACTTGGACCCAGTCATTGCCAATATCTCCCGCACCTGTCATGCCTGACATTTCAACGTCAAGATCCAGCAAGTCGTCGCCTACGTTCATGTCCAAATTTGAATCATTCTGATCGAATCCAGTAGTCTGATTGGCGTTTCCTGTAGGTAGACTCGGTGTACCTGCTGCAGACTGTGACTGGCTTGGGGGTTGCGACAGGCGGGGCAATGAGATGTTGCCAATGGGAGTCCCTGAGAGTGAACCTGTTCCATACTGTTCCAGTAAGCTTGAAGCGGAGTTGTCTTCCACTGGTCCATCGTTGTTCAAGCTATTTGATACGCCATTCGCGTTCTCTTGTGCCCCGTCACCATTGACCTGCGGCTTTGGAGGGGAGGGCTGTTGTGCTTCGATGAAACCACCCTTGTCTATGCAGACGGTCGAATTTTTGGCATCAAATTTCACTCCCAATGACTTCTCCAGATCCCGTACCACATCTTCCACTGGATTAGCACCCTCGACATCGTTGTCCGCAGACCGCGAGAGATCGCGTAATCGTCGTTCTGCCTTGATGTACGTCCGTGTTCGTTTCAGCTGAGCCATTTTCCGTGCATGATCCGATTTCATCTTGTCGATTTCTGCCTGCTCCTTGGCCGTGTAGTCTACCACTCGCTTCTCAAAGTCCTTTAATTGCTCAGGTTCAAGCTTGTAGTAGGTTTTGATCTTGTAGTCAGCCTTCGCAAGCTCTGGTGTATCTGCTCCAGAGACATCAAGAATGCCTGCAGTCAGAGGCGCAAGCTCGCCCATGAGCCCAAGACCAAGATCGATGGGTGCAATGTTGCCCACAGCATATGGAGACGAGAAAATCTCTTCCATCCATTCGTGATGCTGCTTGTATCGCGATAGACTGATCTCGCGCGGGGTCAAAAAGTCGAATGCGTCTTGCGTAGCATTCTCCTCCTCTTCAAGCGACGTGTCTGGGAGCAGTGCGCCAGGCGCAGGTTGACGAGCCTGAGGTTGAGCCGGTACCCGCTGACGTTTGGCTGGCGGTGGCTGTGCGACGTACGGCCTCCCAGGTTGCATAGGATTGTAGTAGGGTTGCTGTTGGCTTCGCATTACAGGTTGTCCGAGCTGACCGAATTCCACCTTTGGCCAATTCGCTTGATCCATCAACATGAACTCTTTGCGCATCAAGGGCCCTGCTTGCTGAAGCTGGGCGCGAGCGCGGAGAGTCTCCTGGACTTCGCGTGACATTGGTATTTGGCCGGCTGGGATCCTATGCGCCTGCTCGGCTGGCCTGTAATGCACTAGCCATAGGTTGGGGTCAATCGTCCCGGGTCCTGCAGCGATTCTGTAGCGGTAACGTGCATGCGACGTGAACTGCTCGTGAGAGTAGATGTAGCCACTGTTATGAACCGCAATTTGGATACTCTGATAGTAATGGTCAGTCCATGCCTAGAATCTAGATGAATTACTCATGGTAGCACATACGTAGCCGCGCACATTCACATCAAACATCTGCTCGACGTCTGCCCACACCATCCCATCAGAGGCAAAGTGCGTTCCCATACGCGGTGGCTGCCATGTCAGGATAATGGTGCCGTCTGGGGGAGGAGATGGAAAATACGTCCATGCGACCGGTGAGGAGTCGCGCGTGATTTGCGGGCCTTTGATGAGATATTCGAGTGCTTGGGCGGGCTGTAGGGCAGGAAGGGCGGGGAAGCGGTAGGAGGAGACCAAATGGACATGTTGGAGCTGTATGGGTTAGCTGGGGAAGATGCTGGGGCAGCTGGTGTTGCGCTCACGATGTTACCCGGCACATGCGCGCTAGGATCCGGGTTGTTATAGGCTTGGTTCATGCCGTACATGATGGGCAAATCAATGCGACAGCAATGCCGCGTCGATTGGGATGTGCGGGGTGGTGTTTTGGTGAGCGCGGAGGTGGACGTGTATGTCTTGAATCTTTGGCGCGTTGGACATCGCGCGCGACTGCCCTGCCAAGGCATCATTCATCCGGCTTAGTCAGCAACCTTGTACATCAATTCTACATCAACCCCCCCGAACGGTTTATCTATCATAACGAGCGTGAAACGTTCTGAAAAAAAACATAGTTCCCCAAGTACAGACATCGCTTGATGGAAGCAATGATGGCCCTCGACGTGAGAACAGTGAGAACATTAGATAGGGTAGCATGCGACATAGCATGCGACAATAATTACAACGATGGTCTCATCCTCATCAATGATTCAAATCTAATCGTGGAAGAGGCATCTGCAGTCGTCTCATTGCTTCAACCGTCTCCTCCTCATCCTCGTAATCCTTTGGAATCCTCGTATACCAGTTATTTCCTCCCCCGTTTGTATCGACATAATCCTGATACGGTCCACTAGTCTTCATATCAATCCAGTCCCCCATTTTTCCATCCACAATCCGAACATTGCACCTCCGACACTCTCCCCAGTACGTCTCCCTAACAAAGGCTGTCCATCTGGGCGCTAGTCCATTGCCCACCAAAAGACCAAAATTCTTAAATATTGGGAGGGAAGTCGCATCTATTCCTGCTATAGCTGTAGAAGAATGAATCTGACTCGTCAAACCCGTCGTCGCTTACTGGTTGGATTCTCAGGTGCCCATCCCAGCTTCTTGGAGGAATTTGCAAGCAAGCAACTCGCTATTCATTTGTATGATGTCGCAATCGAAGTTTGCCCAGATGTAACGTGGAGAGAATTCGACGACGAATGCTTTTTGATAACTGGTGTACTTGCGAGATTTGTGGCTTGTCTTGGTCACAGCTGGTGCTGGCGTTGATGTCCAGAATCTTCGCTCAGCAGACTGATATCTGCGCCGTGCAACCCTGAGTACCCGATCCTCGGTCACAGATTCCTATAGATAAATGCAAAGCTCGAGATTAATGTGTGTGAATAGATGGAAAGTTCGCATGTTGTTGGTGCGGGATGCTGGTTGACGTTTGGAGGGCTACAAGTTGTAGCCAGCGTACTGTCAGTCTCCATATATCGCAATAATGGTAGCGATGGCTACTACATCAGAGTCAATTGTACTGTGCGTAGAAGTAAAGATGGCAATGGAACCCAGAACCAGATAAACCCACGGACAAGCCACATGTGTGAAGAGGAGCCATGCCCAGTCACGCTATGCATGCGCGAAGTACAGTAAGCCACAGCCATTCATCACCAACAGATATGGAGGCATTAGAAGAATAAACTTGCGAGATCATGCCTTTGTGATGATACTTCTAACGTGTTAAGTTATCGCGTTCGTGCGTGTTGATTCATGCATATTATCTTCACTAGCCCTGCAATTGCTACCCTACATAGTACCTATGTAATCAAAAACAATATGCTATTCAGGTCCATTATGCTAACGTAGTCCCTATGAGTTCCCCCAATCTTAAAGAAGCCATATAAATTCCCGAAGTTGGTCAATCCAGCAAAAATTCAGCCATGCACGCCAGCCCATCCACACCATCATACCACCACCCACCGCGGTTCTCCTGTATCCCAAATACAGCAAAAACAATGGACTCGCGGGGAATTGAACCCCGGACCTCTCCCAGCTTTTTCTGGGTTCAATACCAGACGTTGCTAAGGGAAAATCATACCACTAGACCACAAGCCCTGATTTACTTTGATGAAGTGAACGGAAAAGTTTATGTATATAACCTTATGTACATCATACATGAGAGGCCAAAACAAGCACTACAAGACCGTCTGAAAAGCTTGCAAAAGCAATGTTGTCAATCGCTTCACTGGCGGGGTCGAATTTTCACTCGCGGTGGGGTATGCATGGACTAGGGTATCAAACCAGCCAGTTGCGGTAATTTCTCCGCACCAACCATTTCTCTCGCCAGTTTGAACGCTGGGGACATGTCCGGACATGTCTCAAACACGAATCTTGGATAGTCATCACGACAAGATTTTCCCAGGAGATGGAAAGCAGTGTTTTTCAAATGACAACACACCATGTGTATGGCACTTCTTTCGAGTAGAAATTGCCCAGTAAAAGTCAACGCTGACTAGCACGAATAAATCTAGAAGAACTATTGACCTGCATCTCCAGATTTCCAAAATATGTCAGTCATGTATACAGGTCACGTCTTCTCAAGCGACGAAACTGTTAAAACTTGATAGCTGATATTCGATGTATACTAGGCCATCTTTTGGGCCATACAACAGAGCGAATTGCTATGCATGACTACTTCACAGGCCCTATACAAGGATGACTATTAATCCGTTAGAACGATTACCCGACATTAGCCCAAACAATACACATTATACTCACTATTTTTCGAAACTTTGGAGCAGATCTAGGCATCAGCTTCTAGGCTGGGCTGTTCTTACAACTGAAATCACACACTATGTTGTTGCTGTAAGTTACCCAGGGCCTAGCTCTAGGTGCGCAGGAAGCGTAAGCCTACTAAGCATCCCAGACATGGAATACAGCTAGAGTTGGAAGCTCTTTTCAATAAACCAAGTTGTTATCGGGCACGTCTACCTATCTTGTCTCGTGGCGGCGAAGTCTGAGCTACAATTGGAATATGAGGGACTTGCCCTAACAATGGCACCGCTAGGTATATCTCTCTCGCACTTTGTGTCATTAGGAGATGCAAAAGCTGGCGAGCGGCTGGCTTAATTTGGCGAACTAGTTAACCAGACTTTCGTGGAATCTCCAACGACACGCTAGGTCAATTAAGTATGGCAGGTCTTGTTTGGAAATAGTAGCATAATTATGGTGGCTTTACAGTATGCAGATAACGAAGCGTACGTCACTTCAAGGCTTTTATGAGCCTTGACCAAAAGATGATATGACATTGCGATGACTACAAACGCTTAGGTGCCTTCCCTGCGACGCTGATGGACAGCCTAGTCAGATACGCTGACGTGATTTGACAAACGCTGTATCCCATCTTATAGCGCGACAGTTTTAGTCATGTTAAGGTCCTGGTCACAGGTCCCTAAAACAACGCGTTGGGACGTCTCCACTTATGGCTACTACTTGGAGGGGTATCAGCGTGTGATTCTGGTTGAAAAGCTACTTATGAGTGGCACTTATCTTTTTATCCTAACGCCTTCGCCTGTTTATGGTAACTTAATTTGACGAGCTGGAATTAGCAATGATTCAGCAAGCTAGGTAGGGTGATGGTGATTGTTACGAAGTGATGATCATCACCCGAATCCTCCAAGGACAATCACCCATGACGGGAAACAACCATTGCAACATCTAAAGATATACTGATTAGCAGGCACTCGATGTGAAGAGCAAGTTGGACTTATCGTTAAGTGATGGATAGGATGGCTCAAATTCTGTGACCTGTCAATCATTAGCCGTCTCGTGGATCCTAGTTCCCATTGCCGTCATCGTGTCAAGTGGCGCCGAACATGGCTCGTCATCCATCGCCTGTGCAACTTCGCCGTCGCCTTCGATATCGACCGTATACCCTGCCAGCCGAAACCAGTGGACCGCCGCTAACATCGAATCGAAGACGTGGCTCTGTCGCTCTGGCTAAGGAGACTGGACCGTGGAACCGAAGTGGAAATGGCGTTGATAGATATTGTCGCTTCATAAAACACTGGGCCTGGATACCCGAAAGATACTCTTTTTGCCACTGCTGTTTTCGCACATGCAGTTCCGTCGTCAGAAGCTTGGGGCCCCCACCCCTGCTGACTCTAGGAATGCAGTATGCTGACCGATTTTCAAGTTTTTTTGTGATTTTTGGTTTTTCAGTGAGAGACTAGGTATTGTGACGGTGTTATCGTAAATGACGCCGGATCTAAATCGAAGATATGGCGGAAAGTAGTTGGGAATGTCAAAGAGAGAAAAATTCAAACCTGGGAATTGATGGCATAGTCATTGTCGAACCGTAACAACCACTCGTCCTGCTCTCGGCTCATGTTGGTGATATGGAATGATGTCGGCTCATCAGATTGATAAAGCCTCGCATCTAGCGTCGCATATTCGCCAATAGATCTTGCCGTGCCGAGGAGTGAGGCGTCAAAGTCAGCCTGTCGAGTTCGTCGCTTGTCGCTGAGCTGTGCATTGGAGGGACCTTTGCGTATCGCCATCTCAATAAAAGCCATGGTGAATGCGATCCAGTGCTTGGTCTTCTTCGTGTTGACTACGCCAGGAGGTCGTCGAAATTCGATGCTTCCATGACCGGTCTCTTTCGCTGGCAAGAAGTTCCAAGCCCTGTATTTGTCTGGACACACGTAGTTGACGAGAGTATCTCGATCGGCATTGCGATGACGTGTAGTGCCCTGCGCAGACCCCAAGACGTATTCGGATCGCTCAGATGACGGTGAGCCGGTACTCCTTCGCCGACATTGCTCTTGCAAAATACCTGTGCTTGGTCTTGTCTTGAAGCAGGGAGGCAACGAGCAGTCTTCGGTTCCTAGACAAGAACTGCTTTTGCAACGCGAAGCAACTGGCTGAGAGTATACGACTCGGCGAACGGTGACATGTGGATGAGGAACCCGCAAGACGCGTCCCGACGAAAGGTGAAGTGAAAACGCATGACCGACCAGAACTTGTCAATGGTGGACCGCCATGTTTCATCTCCAACAATAATCGGTGATACGATTTCAACAGGATCTGAGAACAAGATATGGTATTAATAGATGCTCTAAAGTACGACTTGAGATGAGAAGGTGGACACTAATCCTGATATGGAAGGACTCACAGTATCCATCCGACATATGCTTCTTGGACGCGGAACCGTCCAAAGTAGCGTTCCAACGTGAGTAGTCCGGCTTATCCTCCGAGTTCTGGTCGTAAACGTCGCAAGGAAGACCAGCAGTTGAGAGCAGGCTAGCTATAACCTTCAAGAGAGCCAGGTTAAAGTTGCGCTGCTGTCGGACGCTGGCGTCGAAGCCGGGTAGAGTAAGGCCAGGATCCAGGCTCACAATAGCCTTCGGGCGGAGTATAAGTTCAAACTCGACGCCAAATTTGAATGGCCTATGAGGCTCGCTCGTTGTATCAGGGGAACTGATATTTGTCGGGAACGAGGATGCAGAAGTGCTGGTGGAGGAGCACGTGGACGAAAGGGGGTTTGCGAAGGCGGGGGTCGCAGTTATCAGTGGTGGAAGATACTTCCGAAGAGACAATGAATTTATGCTGGAAGGCATCATGATGAGATGTTGCAAGCAGATTGTTTGTGATCCGGTGAATTCGCTGTGTCTGGAGGGAAGGTCGGTGTCTGGCACGGAAAGCGACAATAACGACCGTGGATTTGGTCTCCAAAGCAACGCTCTCATCCACGAGCAGGAGCTCATCTGAAAGTTTAGCAATGGGAAGTAACAGTCAGTGCTCGTGCCGTTCCTTCTGCTACGTAACTATTGCGGAAAGAACCCACGGAACGTTTCCTCTTATGAAGATGTAGGGAACATGTGAGTATTTAAAGTTGAGTTCTACTTGTTTCCAGGTCGAATCGCAAACAGCAGTCTGCGGAAATTCCGAGTGTTAGAAATACGATACATATGCGAGGTGGCCAGAGTAGTACGATCGTCCACATCACACGCCCTGTTCGACGCTGTATTCAATTGACTATAGCATGATACTATCTCTATAACACCTATCTTGACGTGTGGGTATTATACGGATCTGTAATATTCTTGTTTTTCCCTGAACACGTGCTGTCTGTTTCAGAAAACGTGCAGAGTGCACGTTGTATTTGACAGAGATGAAAGAAATTAGCAGCACAATTCACGCCAAGGCAGGTTTAAGGGCTCGAAACTGCTCTGGATAAAATGGATTAATGATGCTTGAAGTCATAGTGCAAATCATATAATGACTTTGCCGCATGTTGGCACATACGACGAAAACTCGCAGGGGTCCCGTAAAGAGCTTCTAATTTACTAAAATAATTGCTGATGTTTCTGCTGACTTCGCAATTCACTAGATAGCCACAGGCTTGTAGCCTACAAGAGTAGCTTGAGATTATAGATTACCTGAAAACACTTTCTATATACAACATAACCCTTATCGCAATATATCTCAAGAGCAAAAAAGTGCAGTTGAAACTAGGAAAACAGTAAATGTAAGGGTAGATAAGCGGAGACCTATTTACTGGTGTAGAATTATCAATAAGCAATAGACAAAACATAGCGAAGATAGGCTGGATCTAGTCGAAATCAAACCCCTGGAATTCGCTGTCATAAGTGAAAACATACGGTACAAGATTATGACGCTGAAAGAACACGTATTCGAGTTCCAACGACAGATGAAAGCCCCAACGTCCAATCAAGTACCGTATGAGGGAATGAACAAAATAAATTCTACCATGGTAGGTACTTTTCGACCCACAGGTTCGGTTCACGCTACAATAATAACGTTGTTCCAATGAGCCATTATATTCTTCTATGAGTCAACAAAACGTGCTTACTCGGCAAGAACAACATCTTGCTTCCAGTATCCCTCGCACTTTCTCTCCTACCACTCTCCTGAAATCTGCAATTCTATAAACTCTGGCGCATCTGGCAAACAAACCATGGACTACTTTGATGACCTGGACCAGGAAGCTTTGGATGCATTTGGTGAGCTCAACGACGACAGCGCTTTACCATCTCCCGTTGAAATATCCTCGAAAAAAAAGCAAATTCTGCAATCCACATTAAATGGACAAG